GAGAGGAGAGGAGAGGAGAGGAGAGGAGAGGAGAGAGGAGAGAGAGAAGAGAAGAGAAAGAGGAAAGAACAGATCTATCTAGAGAGGAGGGCAGGAACCTAGAGAGAGAGAGAAAAGAAAAGATCAGAGATCTAGAGAGGTGGGCAGGAACCCAGAGAGAGAGGGAGGGAACAGAGTCCAGGGCTTCTCACGACTGAGCACCGGGCTTTGTGTCAGTGTTGCGTGTGATCTCTCTCAGGTGTCTGTCAGGACGACAAGTTGGCCCAGGGATGGATGGCCCAACAGGCAAGGTAGCTGGGGCTCACTTGTGTTTTGTTACTAGTCTGCTGAGTGGAGCATAAACCGCGAGTTAACTGCTCACTGCAGAAAGAGAAGCACCAGTTGCAAACCCAGGCTAGACTGGCTGGAAGCTCAAGGCTTCCCCGACCTCGTCCAGGGACTGGGAGTTTGGAAAGGGCTCTGATTCTGTGGGAAGGAGCTGTGCTGGGTCGAGGGATAGACAGAGACGTGTACCAGCCACAACGGACAGCAGAAGGGCGGATGTGGTGGGGGAAAGGTGAACTTCTTCACTGTGGATTAACAAGTAAGCACAACGAAGCCATGCTTGCCTTGCCTGATGGTGACGTGGACGTGGAATGGGCCTCCTGGGTTTAAAAGGATCATTCGGGCCAAGTCCTGAGCTAGTACCTGGCCGTCCACAAACATTCACCTAACCTTACTCCTCACCTTTGGGGGTAGGAACAGGGGGAGGGGAGGTAGGAGTAACGTAGCTGCTTAGCTCCAGAACCTTCTACTCACATCTTGCCCTACACCTTATCTAGAAGTCTAATGAGACCTCAGCGCTCACCTAGCCCACGTCTCCTGTTATGTCAATACACGGTCCCCCAACCCATGTCACCATCTTGGCTGCTAGCCCTACAGCCTTTGTGTCCTGGCCTTCACTCAGTCCCCACACTCATCCAGTCAGCAAAACTGAATGATCTTCAATGAAATCCACAATCTAACCCCCTTCCCACCCTGCACCAGTGCTCTGGCCCACTCACAGCCCCTGCGGATCATTCCCCACATGGCCGCCAGGGGCGCTGGTCAGCACGCAGCTCACACTCAGGGCCGCTGCTGGGGCCTCACAAAGTGCAGGTGCTCACCTTGACCTTCAGGATGAGGCATCATCTGACCCCTCTCACCACTCCCTCCATATGCTCATTCTAGTCCTGCAGCTTTCTAACCGAGCGAGAGAGATCAGAGAGCAAGAGGAAGTGGTCAGAGACTGAGAGAGAGACAGAGAGACAGAGACCCAGAGAGAGAGGGGACAGAGACCCAGAGAGAGAGGGGGACAGAGACCCAGAGGGAGGGGGGGACAGAGACCCAGAGAGAGAGGGGGACAGAGACCCAGAGAGAGAGGGGGACAGAGACCCAGAGAGAGAGGGACAGAGACCCAGAGAGAGAGGGACAGAGACCCAGAGAGAGAGGAAGAAAGACTCAGGAAGGAGACCTGACCCGTGAATTCTGCATTTGCCAGCTGCTGGTGAGTCCATTTCCACTGACACCCACCATTTATCGTGCTTCCAAGGCTGCAAATCTTTTTTTTTTCTTTAATGCTGCAAATCTTTATGGAAAGAGACTTCCCATATTTCTTCCCTTCGGCTGGTGGATTTGAACTGCCAACCTTCTGGTTAGCATCCCTACATGTTATGTACTACAGCACCAGGGCTCCTTCTGTGTGTAAATGGTATTAAAATGGTGTTGTTGTTATTATGTGTCATCGAGTCACTTGAGACTCATAGCGACCTTATGTACAACAGCCCTAAACCCTGCTCTATCCTGTGCCAATCGCACTGTCTCCGACACACCTACCCCCATTACCCCAGTCACTGAATCAATCCACCTCATAGAGAGTGTTCCTCTCCTGCACTGTCCCTACACCGTCCCAAGCACGATGTTCCTCTCCAAGGACTGGTCCCTCCTTGCAACATGTCCATATGTGTAAGGTTATATGTAACATTTCTAAACCCTGGAGAGCTCTGGGGGTCTAGTGGTAAGAAGTGGTGCTACAATCCCAAAGGGACACAGTTCAAATACACCAGCTGCACCATGGGAAAAGGATGGGCAATCTCCTCTTGTGAGATTTATTTACTGCCTCTGAAAACCCGCTGAAGGGTCGGCTATGGGTCGGTTCTGACTTAACAGCACACAACAACAACAACAAAGATATAAGAGCATAATAATGAAAACAAAGTCTTCTAGGTTGCAACACCCCCATGATACATCTTCAAGGATATGAACATGTATGGCCAAGCACAATCAATAACAGTGCATCTAAATTCCAAAATCAATCTCCATAATAGTCTATGTGTTTCCTACTGCCAAAGGGGCC